CAGCACAGCAAACAAATTTTGTCCTTCAGACATTGGAGCAAAAAATGTGCCGTCCTGTTTTATGGGAAAGCTCCCTTCCTGATTTTTTTAAGGTCCCCTCCAACACAAGTCTTTTTATGATTTCTATGATAAACCCTCCATGATATGCCATGGTGGATAACTCAACGCCTGAACAGCTGTTTTGACCACTTCATGTTACTCTTCTGTCTTGTGGAAGATACAAGAAATATTTTTAAAACAAATCCATACCTCCACTGCCTGGTAAAGGTCATTTAAAATCAACTGTGCCCTATTCTAACAGGAATCAATAACTTTTTTTTCCTCTAAGAAGGCAATTCATTGACTTTTCTGTGGAAGTTCAATCATCTTTTCAATGTTCAAATAATCTGCACACAATCCACTTAACTTTGATTCTGAGGGAGAAAATTTGAAGAAAATAGTAAAAAGACAATGCAGACAAGCATGACTCTACTGAACATATCTGGTAAGGTCTATGAACAGGGAGAAAATTTGTACAAATTACTGAAGACATCTCTCTTGTAAACAGGGTTGACATCTTGATACTGCAACTCTTCAGTCTCCTTGCAGCCTTCCTCAATCTAGACTGTTCTGTGTTTCTCATTCACAAAATATCCCCGGATTGATAAAAGCCACAAAGACCATGGCTGTTTCTGTCCTTTAAAGTCTTATTGACTCTCCTCTCTTCATTGCTCAAATATATTCTCAGGTATTCTGCTCTGCTCTCAGCAAAACACCATGGATATATGTTTATAACTCCCATTTTCAGCAGATGCAGGCATACTCCTCACAGACAAGTGTTGCTGCACAGAGCAGGAAACAACACCTAGCTGAAGACTGACTGGCTCAAGCACTTTGGTGCTGCTCGTACTTTCTTCTTTGCAGTGAGACAGACATTAATTACAGGAGACTGAAAAGAGTTTGCAGCCTGTGGGATAGCACATCAAACAGATATTGGGTTGAACTTCTGGGTGCTCGAGAAAAGCTATGATAACTCAATTGGCAAATTCCAAGCTCTGATGTTGTTCTGATTATAAAAACTTTCTACAACCAGCTAGGAGGTAGGAGAATGCCTTATCACATTCATATGCTTTTAACCCTTCAAGTGTTGCTGCTGTTGAGCTGAAAAAGAATCAAATGTTTCTTATCTAAAAAAATAAGATTGGGAATGAACAAGAAAGAGAAGGAAAGACTGATAGATCAGAAACTGCAGGTCTGGTCTTCTGGTGGCAATTACTTTGTCTTCACACCTGAACTCCATACCCCTTTTCTACTCCATTTTGCTCCATTGCTATACTTTATCCTTAATCCTTACCCTGCTGTGTTGTGAGACTCTATCTGAGCACAAAATAAAAGAACTGGACACCAGATAGAAATGCCACAAAAGTTAAATATTATAGTGGTTGCATATTTGCTCAGGTTTTTTCTCTCTTCATGGATCTGTAATTAGTGGGAAACTTTGTGCTGTTCTGCTGCTTTTCTCTGGAAGTGACAATATGAATCAGGCAGTTTTCCTTGTAAAGATTGAGAAGGCAGTTGAAGGCTGGTTTCTAGTGTGAGTTATTGGCATGTTACTGTGGCATGGTAAAAAATTACTCCCAAAATCACACAGATGAGCAACAGCTGTTGAATTAACTGCTGTATCTTTTACTGCCTACCTGAATGATGTTTTACTTTGGAGGAAGTATGGACATGTCTGTGCCTACAGGTATGTAGTCTTGGGAGATGTTGCAGCAGGGCTGCCAGCTTTTGTGATGCAAAGAGTGGACTTGGCAGTGAGGTTCCATGCCCAACAACAGCCTTCTCTACACACTCACCAGCACCCATCTGGCAGCCAGGAATCATAGTTCCATGGAACCACAGAATCACAGAATCACAGAATGATGATCATAGAATGGCCTGGATTGGAGACTAGCCTTAAAGATCATCTAGTTCCAACCCCCTTGCCATGGACAGGGACATGTTTCACTAGACCAGTTTGCTCAGAACTCCATCCAAAATGGCCTTAAACACTTCCAGGGATGGGACGTTCATAACTTCTCTGGGAAATGTGTTCCAGTACCTCATCACTCTCACAGTAATCAATTTCTTCCTAATATCTAATCTACACCTTCCCTCTCTTCATTAAAAGCCATTGACCCTTCCCCTGTCACTATTTGCTCTTGTTAAAGTCTCTCCTCATCTTTCTTGTAGGTTCCATTTAGGTACTGAAAGTATAAATTAGGTCACTCTGAAGCCTTCTCTTTTCCAGGCTTAACATTTCCAACTCTCTCAGCTTTCCCCCATAGGAGAGGTGCTACATCTTTTGGGATTCACTCCAACAGTTCCACGTCCTTCCTGTGCTGGGACCCCAGAGCTGGATGCAGCACTGCAGTGGGGTCTCAGCAGAGCAGAGCAGAGCAGAGGGGCAGAATCCCTCCCCTTGCCCTGCTGGCCATGCTGCTTTGGATGCAGCCCAGGACACATTTGGCTTTCTGGGCTGCAGATGCACATTGCTGGGTCATGTCCAGCCTCTCATCCATGAGCACCCCCAAGTCCTTCTCCCCAGGGCTGTTCTCCATCAGTTCATTCCCCAGCCTGTGCTGATACCAGGGGTTGCCCCAGCTCAGGTGTAGCACCTTGCACTTGGTCTCATTAAACCTCACGAGAGTCTCATGGGCCCGCTTCTCCAGCCTGTCCAGGTTCCTCTGGATGGCATCCCATCCTTCAGGTGTGTCATCCACAGCACTCAACTTGGTGTCACCTGTGAATTTTTTGAGCATATGCTGGATCCTTCTATCTGTGTCAAAAATGGACATTAAAAAAAATAAAGGGAAAAAAATAAAATAAAAAAAGAAGGAGGCCAACCACATCCTGGTCTGCAGTATGAAAAGCACAGTCAGATCTTATCTCCCTGCATGTACTTCATGAGAGGCAGCAGAAAAATAAGGATGTGTATGGTTCCCACAGGTGACTAGATGTGGGACAAGATGCAGCAGATATAAGATGCAGCATGGGAAATTCCAGTTGGATGTTAGGGAAAAAAATCTACTGTATGAGAACTGTCAAACTTTAGGACTAGAGCCTGCAGATGATGTGGCCTCCATTTTTTGAGCTATTCAAACACTGCTGGTCCAGGCACTGAGCAACCTGACATAAGCCAGCCCTGTTTTGACTGCCTGGTTACAAGAGATGACCTCCAGAAATCCATATCCTCTATCCTCTATCCTAAGACTATGCAAATAGATCAGTCTTGAAAAAAAAAAAAAAAAAACAACTAAAACTACATTCCCATTGAAAGTGTGAACTTTGCTTCTCAAAAAATCAAATTCTCAGGAATATTTAATGCTCTATGTAACTGCTGAGGATGAGCAACTTCTTAAAAACCCATAGGTGCTTTTTGCTCGAGACAAGAGTTACTGGGTTTCACAACTCAATATGAGATTATTTTTTTTTTTTGGAAACCTTCCTTCCACTTATTGAAAAGCAAAATATAGCCTATAGATTAAAGCATGAGACACATTAGGTGAGAAGTAGTCTAATTCTGACTCAGTAGCAGCCTTGTTAAGTAACTTTGAAGAAAATGTCTGAAGGCTTTCATGCCTTTCATAGCATGTAATATAGGACTACCAGGCTATTACACAGAAGAGACAAATTCAACACTGTTTTTAATTTTTGCATTTGGGTGTCATGGAAAATATTGCTGTACATTTTATTTGAAAAAAGCTATTACTATATATTTTTAACATTAAATTTGCCATAATTTTTAAATGGCAGATCACTACAAGTATTTCTAAGCTTAACTGGTTATTGGAAAAACAGTTTATTTATTAAACCTTGAAAAGAGCAGTTAGACTGTGTTAGAGAAAGTATTATATTTTCTACAACTACTGCTTTTTATCTTGTGGAATCTTAACAAGGGGATAGGACAAAACATTTAATGAGCTTTTGGATTTAAAATCCCCAAGCACATGCCCTTAATTTGGAAGAAAGAGAACATCCTTATTCTGAACACTGTTATTATTCATACTGAGCTCCTGGGAATGCAACATCAAGATTTTGAAATATGAGTTTGTCCTACCCTGCTACTTGTTGCATGGCCAGGTTTTGTAGCTATTCTGCTATATCACTGACAGAGAATGACTTTTTGAAATTAAATGGGGTCAAGGAATAATTGCAGCTTCGCGAGTACCTGTGTTTCTCTGACAGATTTCTGGTAGCAGATGTATGAAATGGCTACAATTAAGAATAGAGCCAACAGTGTACTATAAAGATGATCATGATATCTCATAGCATATTCACCCCACATCCTTCTTCTTTTCACATGCTTCATTCTCTTTGTCTATAAAAAGTTTGAGTCAGTACTTTTCAATTATAAAACAATTGCAGTATACAAAAAGCTTATGCAAAGTGGATGTTTACGTCTCTCTGGAAGCCTACTTTTTGATAAAAAGATAGAAGCATTTCAGGAGTACCAGAACATTTTCAGCTTTTCAGGATGCCCACCTTCAGGGTTGCTACAGATATTTTATCACTGTATCCTGAGGAAAGTTCCTTCAAGGGCTGTCAGATCTCCTCTTAGATGTTATCTGAGCAACTGAGAAAATCCCGTTGAGAGGCTGAGTGGCCTTCATGCCACAGAAGAGAGATACTTATGCCTATATATACAACCAGAAACACATACTCTCATGTGTTATCTTCACTTTCACTATAATTATTCCTCTTCCTTTCATCTGTAGCCACTTACAGGAAAATGCATTTTGCAATAACTGAAAAGATTTATTGTATATTGAAGAGAACAAAACACATCCTCATCAATGAACTTGTTGAGTGAGGTGATAACAACTGGTCCAGTCCTGTCTGTCAGCTGTTTGTGGTTGACGAGCAATGGGTGGCACTTCAGGAAGCAGACAGAGCTGGGCTGCAGTAGCAGTTCCTCAGCAGCGCTTCTCTGCGAAGTCCAGGAGTCACAGGCAGTGAGGAGAGTGTCCTTCTATGCTGCTGGAGAGTGGCTGGGTAAGTGCTGCAAAAGGCCTCAGCAGAGGTACTGAGGTACTGGAGACAGACCAGGAGGAGGGAATTATTATTAAACTCAAATGAGAAGGCTGCAGGTCTGGATGGAGCTTAACGGTTCCTGGTGGGAGGTAAGATTACAGCAGAGCTGGGGGGAAACATGACAGAAGAGACCTTAAAAGTACTTTGTGTTCTTAGTCCACTGCAGCAGCTGCAAATGTCATATTTTATTAAATCAGTGGAAGTAAAGTGGTAGTTAAAAGTGTATTTTGGGAATATTATTGCAGAAAGGGCTGCTGGTCTCCTTTTACAATAGCATCCACACTTTCATAATCCTTTCTGAAATTTATTAAAAGAAAAGAAGAAAGTGTTATTGGTTTTGCCAATTAATCTTTGAACAAAAAGTAAGAAGGAAATTTTCATAATGATTACACTGGTTCCTCATTGGCTCCAGTACTTTTCATTATGAGTAAATTTTTTCAGAATCAGCTCAGATGCTGATCATCTCAAGTCACCCTCATAAAAGGTTGCCAGATCTGCCTTCACTTTGGCACTTTTAGACACCACCCCTGATGCTCTCAGGCACTCACACAGCTCAGCAATGAAATGAAACCTCATGATGGGCCACAGCAGCAAGAGCCCAGCCTGCAGGTCAAGGATTACAGCTGTCAAGTCAAGAATGTGATTATTCCACTCCATTTACTACCTGTTAGGCCACACCTGGGATGTGGTGTCCAGATTCTCTCTTCCTTGTCCAAGACAGACATTGAAAAATTCAGAGTAGCATAATTTCCCCTGCTGGAAATATTCAAAGCTCAGTTTGATGGGACCCTGGATACCTCAGTCTATAGCCCTGCTTTCAACAGGAGGTTTGACAGTAAAATCTCTCGAGGTGCCTGCCAGCCTGGATCTTTTTAAGATTCAACAGTCACAATCCACACAGACTGTGATATGCCTGTTACTTTCTGCAAAGTCATGCAGAGGTACCAAAACTGGCTCTGGAGGAGCTAATTGAAGTGCTGAAGCTCCTAAGCCTGAAAAACAGGGATAAATTTGATGAGGGATTGTCACTCCAACACAGATTTATCACCAACTACCTATTTAAAGGTAGCTTAGATATTTTCACCCAGCATTATGTTCTGAATTGCACACATACCTCGGGCTCATATGGCAACCTGCATATCTTCTATATTCAATGCTGTACAAAAAGACTCCATGAATTCTACCATTTTACCCCTAAAAAAAAAGTGTGCAGGCTGCTTCTGAATCTGAAACAAAATAACAGTCCAGGGGAAAAATACTTCAGAAAAGTATAATATAGTGCTAGAACCTCTCACCAATTTAATGAACTTCTTCCTAGCTTAGAACTGATCTCTGTTGCACAGCTGAAATTAAGTTCATGTGGGGATAATCTTAGGTGTGGGCATGGAATGAGGTCAGACACCCACTCACATGGATTGGGGAAAAAATCTGAAAGTTGAGACAGTTTTTGATACAGAATCCATTATCTTATTGCAATCTCACTGAACAAACTGAAAACTTTCCTCTTAAGGTAAAATAAGGGGAAAAGAGTTTTAACCAAAATAAGAGACATAAGGAAAATCTGGAGTGGATACAAAACAGGCATTGCTTTATCTGCACTAGAGGTACTTAGTAGTAAATGGTGAGTTCTCTCATCATGAGGGCTGTAGAAATCATCGAATCACTTTCTTTGATGATGCTGATTTGATGGTGCAGAGAGAAAAAGGCAGCAATGGAAAATGCTACACAGTGAGCTGATGCTTCTCATTTTCATCTCAGCTGCACAATTAAACACATTAACTGCCTGCTTTATTTTCTTAAACTCTCCAAATTCTCACCATTGCCAATATCAACAGGAAAGCTATTTTGGGGAAAGCTTTTCTGTGAAGATGTACTTGAACTAGTGCTTAATGTGCTAACTTGAGAACCAGAAGCAATGGGGCTGAAGAGGCATGTTGCGGCCAGTCTAACCTATCCTGTTGAGAAGATAAAGGCCAGATCACTGCCCACCTGTGGCTGATTTGCTTTGGGATCAGAGCTCATATCTGCAGTTGCCCACCTCGCCAGGTGCCCATCCAAGCCTCTCTATCACTCCTCTCTGCAACTGAACAGGGGAGAGAAAATATAAAAGAGGGTTTATGGATTGAGATAAGGACCAGGAGAGATGTCTCACCAAATATAGTCATGAGCAGAACAGACTCAGCTTGGGGATATTAACAGAATTTATTACTAACAAAATCAGCGGGACAACGAGAAGTAAAAGCAGACCTGGAAAACACCCTCCTTCTCAGCTCTACTTCCTCCTCTAGGCCAGTGGCAGGGGGAGATGGGGCGTACTGGTGTGATCAGTTCAGCATACATTGTTTCTTTCCCTACTCTGATGTGGGGGTCTTTTCCCTGGGAGTTGGTACTCCATGAATTTCTCCATTATGAGGCCATCCCATAGGCAACAGTTCTTCACAAATTACTGCAACATAGATCATTCTTCCCTGGGTGCAGTCCTTCATGGACACTCTGCTCCAGCTTGTGTTCCCCATGTAATCTCAAGTCCTAGCAGGAGACCTGGTCCAGTGTGTGCTCCTCTCTCCATGGGTCCGCAGGTCCCTGCCAGGAGCCTGTTCCAGCACAGACCTCCCTCAGGTTCACAGCCTCTTTTGGGCATTGAACTGCTCCAGCATGGGTCTTCTTCAAGGGCTACAGGTGGGTCTCTGCATCCCTGTGATCCTTCATGGGCTGCAGAGGCACAGCTGCTTCACCATGGACTTCACCATGGGCTGCAGAGGAACCTCAGCTCCAGGGCCTGGAGCACCTCCTCCCCCTCCTTCTTCACTGACATTGGTGTCTGCAGAGCTGCTCTTCTCACATGTTCCCACCCCACTCTTTTCTGGCTCCTTCTCCTTCTTCTCCTTCTCCTTCTTCTCCCTCTCCTTGTCCGTCTTCTTCATCTTCTTCATCTTCATCTGCTTCTTCATGTTATCACAGAGACATTATGCTCATTTCCAGCTGGCCCAGTCTTGGCCAGTGGCACATCCATCCTGTAGCTGGCTGGTGTTGTCTCTGGCAGACTTAGAGGAAGCTTCTGGCACCTTCTCACAGAAGTCACTCCTGCAGCTACCAGGACCTGGCCATGCTGCCCAATACATCAGGGTTTGTACACATCCTACACTATTCATTTTGTACCAGCTTATGTTGGTGCTATTTGGGTCTTCTCTCCACCATGCTTCACTGCTACATGTAGACTAGTTTTATTTTACCTTTTCATTTATCATGTGGGGCTCATAATATCATAAGGAATGTCCTGTCAGTCCATCTTCAGCTGCTGCTTCATTAGAGATACAGTAAATAATATAAAATATTGGGCTCTTATATTTTCCAGTGATAAAGAAGACATACATAGCCTGGATGAAATGAAAAGAAGGAAGATAGAAAGGGAAGCTGTTTCATAACTTATTGTTTTCAGATCTGTTTTTCTGCAGAGAGGTCTAAAGATCAGCCAAGTACAGGGGCCCAGTGCAACACCACAGCACAGGGCACTCCAAAACTTGAATAAGAATATTTGGGCTGGCAAAACATCATTAAGACCACAGCATGGCCCAACATTTTCTGCAGACTCCTGTGTCAATGAAATGGGGAGAAAATATATTAGGAGGACAGTGGGACAAAGGGCAGGTGTGGGTATTCTTCCACAGCCCAGAATAGCAGTACTTACCATAAGTGTTTCTACACCTGTGGCTGGGCTATGTAGCTGCCTTTTTAAATATTTCAGCTGAACTTCAAATAGCCAATGTTTTAAAAAATGCATCAGTAATGAGCTTATTGACAGCACAATTGGCTTCACGCTTTGGCATGTGCACTGTAGCTCTTACTTTAATGCAGTTAAAGTTGTCATTTATATCATGAAGTAATCATTGCTTATCATTCGCTCAGAATGGAAACTCCCAGATTTATCAGCAAAATGAACCATTTCAGCCCAAACAATTTGATGTAAGAGAGCACTTGCATGCACACAGCACCTCAGTATAATAAGCAGAGTGTAGCCGTGCTGATCAAGGAAAGGCTTGCAAACCAGTGTACTTTGAGAATGCAGCATGGAAAAATTCCCTTGAAGTAAATTCCTTCTTTCTGTAATGACAGGAAGAACCTGAATTCCTCTCTAACCCAACTGTAACAGAAACATCATGTATTTAATTGTGGCTATGCTGAGGTAGAAAATCATTATCAATCAGCGTTGGCAGCAAGCTTTGCTTTCTGTACTGCTCCTAGGCAGTAGGAGCTTAGACTAATGCAGGGAGGTTTGTTCTTCAGACAACACACTTCAGCATACTAAATTTCACAAATATCTGTATGTGTACATTCAGCATGAAAGTGATCTTTGGTAAAATTATTTTTCCATGCACCTGATGATAGAGTTTGCATTACCTTTGCAGTCAGAAATCAGATGAAATAAGCAATCTGGGAATGAAACAGTATTAGTAGTTGCAGTACACATTTTGAGGGTGAGTAGCAATAGACTTGTGCTGAATCCTTTAAAAATATATATTCTTCCTTACAGCATGCTGCCTAACCCAGCAGGCAATTATTAGTGAGGTTAGTACCAAGTTCAAAAATATTTAGGATGAGCACTGTCTTTTCAAGATGAAGGGAAGGATGATTTTTCTTCCCAGAGAGGCATATATGCTTGTAGAATTGGCATGGTGCTGCATATATTATTTCTTTCTCTGCAGTCTAATGTCATCTTTAGGGTAGGAGTAATGCATCTCCTTGTCAACCAGCTCCTCCTTCCATTTATTTTCACCCTGGTGAGAACAAGCTCCCACAATGAGTGAATAGTTGTGCTGGATTCCTGATGAAAGGCACACCCCCTGAAAAAACTTACTGGCTTGCAACAGGTACGAACTAGTAAAATCCTTCAAAAAAACCCCCAGTAATATTAAAGTTGGTGACAGACTATTAGTAGTGTGCTGCTGTTAAATATAAGACACCTTCTCAAAACGTCCATTTAGACTGGAGACTGAACAGATACCTTTTGTATGCAGTTCTGATTCCTCCTGCTGCCCTTGGTGACAAACATTGACGCCAAAGCAGAGCCCAATATAAAAGAGAAGTTATGGCAAAAGTTGGGCAAATTGCTAGTATTATTAGTATTAGAACAGTTTGTTTCTAGATCTGGGATCCCTCCCACACAATCAAAGAAGAATGTGATGTGGACTTAAGTCTTGGTTTGTTTTCAGTACTTTTCTGAAAGATCTGGATTCTAGTAAGACCTAAACAGAAATTTGAGGAAGTTTTATTAATATGCTATACTTCAACATGGTGCAATTTTGGCATTTCTGCAGGAGGAAAAGGTAGTGAGATAGGCTGAAGGAAAACAAATTTTCTCCATGCCACTTTTCCTCAGGTACATTTAAGCAAATTTGAGTAATAATGCCCAGGTATAATAACTTGCAAAGTGGGTATTTTTTCCCCTAAATCAGTTAAAGAACTAGGAAGAGGCCACCAGATGCATTTCCACTTTTCAGAGGAGCTTAAATTTACGGCTCTGCTATGCAAAGGTGTGTGGAACAAGGAATTTCAAGTCACATTTACTCCCTGTACTTTTCCAAAATGTTCTTTCAGATGTGTCACAGACAGTATTTCTCGCTCACAGGACACCTTGCACTGCCTGGGTGACAGCCACAAATCACAAACGATCCAGAACCCAGAGAGAGACATTTTGAGAAACCTATTATCTATAAAATGTTTTTGGCTGATACTGATACTGAATGTTTTTCCCTTTATAGGTAATTAATATCTTTCTATTCAGGTGCTTGAAATATTAAAGCACAGTAGAAATACAAGTCAAAAATAGGATTTTGTTGGTAACAGGTATAAGTTACTCTAATTACATAGTGCCTTTCTGTTCTTCATATTAGCAGCTGATCTTTTACTTAATAATGAACTTCAAACAACCTATCACAATTGCAACTTAATAACTGATCAGCCAGTGTTACCTACTAGCCCCAGGCCCACAGCTGGCACTAGAAGGAACTCTGAGCAGATCAAAAAGCAGGCTTTTTGTGAGGAGTAAAAATCAGTATGAATTATGTCCTCCCTGATTCTGTGCAGTCCACATCAGTTCAGTGTTGTCAGGACCATCACTCAGGCTCTACTCACAACTAAGAGCCAGCTTACCCACAGCCAATTTAAGGTGTACAGGTGGATCTTATTTTTTGCTTTCTGCCACTTAAATAAGTGAAGGAGAAGAATATTTTTGTAGAAGACCCAACCATCATGCTTGAATAGCTCCAGCTACCCTGTGTAGTCCTCTTCTGAATTAGCATTCCAAATCGTTGAGTCCTGGCAAAATAAATGCAGACAAACAAAATACCTGTGTTGCCATGGTTATTCTGTGTACAACTTTTAGTTTGGAACAGCTGAAAAGTCACTCTCAGCATCTATTCTGCCTGAGCATAAAGGGCACGGTTCTCCTTCCTCAAGGACCTCTCAAAATCCAGAGTAGAGGTACCTTGATGCTAATCAGCCTCAGGACAAGCAGTCCTTGAGATTTGGCCCAGCCTGTCATCTATTATTAAACAACTTTGGCCCTTGAAACTATTGCTTTAATGCAAACTCAAACTAGGTGATGGTGAATCCACATGATACAACAGTACTATGAAAACACACTATCATGCTTCTAGATTTTTATGGTATTGCTAAAACTACCAGCAAAAAAAATTACTCAAAACTTGTAAAATACATGCATTTCTAGTATCAGTGTTTAAAACCGGTGATGCTCTAAAATAATCACATTCTGCCACCAGCTCAGTGCATTACAGCTGAAAATCTAAACATACCAGTCTGGAATCCATTAGACATGCTGTTGGTAAATCCTGGTGGAAAATTGCATCAATTTAGCAGGGAAAATTAATTGCAATTATGTCCATTAAGCATTCTATACCTATCTAGATCTTGATGCTAACTACAAATTAGAGACCGACAAAGGCAATGAGGGCGTCTGTCCCAGATCATACTCTGGTATTTCACTATTTGGTTTAATCCTGGATTAAAGGATTGAAGATTTGCCAACTACAAACATGTGGAAAGAATTCAACCTGAAAAACTCTTTTTTGTTTTGACTGCTTGAGGAAACAACATTGTTACTTTTCAACAAAATTATATAACTTGTATCTTATATAATTATTATATTGCATCAAAAATATATATCAATATACAGCATTAAAAGATTACTTATGTTTTAACTTATACTTAGCTATGTGTAACTTATTTTATGTATCAAAAATATTGTATAATTTAAAAACCAACATACAGAAGCTACCCAAAGGTTTTAAAGATACCTTAGCTTTCTTTCTGCTGGGATGTATTCACTCTAAAAAAGACCTAGAAGGAGCCAAGACAAAATTACTAACTTGAGAAGGCACAAGTCTTGATTCAAGGATATTCAGCTTTAGGTCTGGCTTTGCCATGGAATTTTTAGCTTTTTATCTGTATGCCTTTCAACAGATCTTTGAGACCAGCTTCTTTTAATATCATCTAAGCAGTTCTTTAGCTGTCAGGCACTGTTAAAATTGCAAAATGCAAAAAGACAATTTCCATCACATAGCAGTCTGTTGTGAAGCAGCACAGAGCAGGACTTCCCTTGTGATTTTTTTAACCAAATGTGAAGCAACAGGATGCAGTCAGTTAAAACATTCTCCTGTGAGGTTACATTTAAAGTTGTATGTCTATGCTGTTGCTTTCAAAACAAGTACACTCAAATATAACCGTGTGTTCTGACAGAAATGTGTTAAGCCAGCAGGAGGGCAAAACTGACCTTGCACAGACTCCTTACAGAGACTCAGTCCTGCAGAGAGACATCTTTTACCACACATACACCTCACACAACCATCATTGCTCCATGAGCCTTTGGCACTGGTATGGCTAATCACTTTTTAAATTAAGTCTCCTAGTTTCCCTCTGCTAGCACTGTGCAGGTGGAGTAATGGCACCATGTCCTGAGGTCCAGACACTGAGCTAAAATCTTGGCAGAAAGCAGAGCTGAGAAATGGTGCTGGGCTGTAGACTGAGCTTTGTTTCATCCCTCACACTTAGATGTCTCTGACCACATCCAAACCCACACTTAGCCAGTTACAATCTAGATCATATTTTGCTCTTGTCCTGCCCTGTTTTCTCAAAACACACCTTCAAATCATCCCCTCCACTCTGCGGAACCACCCTTCCAAACATATGTCTTCCTGAACTGTGAGGTTCACTTCCGTGTGTATAATTTATCATTTTAGGCAGTAGTATAAAGCCCTGTACAGAAATGGGAGGCTTTGAAGACCTCTAACGGCTAAGAAGTAGCTGCAAGGTAAGGGATGCTGTGATACAACTAAAAATCTTCCCAAGGTTGTGTGCCATGGGCAGCCCTATCCTCACACAGTGCAGCTTAAAGGTTATTGTTTTGTCATAAGCTTAAAGAAGGAAGCAAGGCAATGACTCTTTAAAGTATCAGCTCTCTTGCTTTTTGTTCTTAGAGCTTACATAGAATGAAGATCCAAGTAAACAACACTTGAAGAGTGGAGAGAAACTAATCTGTAAGTATACACAGAATGAAAAAAAAAGCCTCGGTTTGCAAAGTAAATGAATGCTTGCAAGTTCAGGAGGGGGGAGAAGCATTCAGTGGTCTATTTGTTTTATTTTCAACCCACTTTCTGCACAAATGTTTTCACATTGTGTTTGGTAATTTCCTAGTAAGGGACAGCATTGCTTCATTCTTTCCCATATTGCTACCCTGTAGTTTTACACTGTCTCCTAAAACTGGGAGGCAGTGCATTTTGTTTTCATCCATCTTTTGTGTGTGTGTTTGATATCACCCAGTCTCTATAAGGACAAGAAGGGTTTGTTTTCTCTGTTAAGATACAGCTAAGTAGGTAAATAATCCTTTTTAGGAACACTTCATGGTTTCCATTTTTTGTGTAAAAATAGTGACAATCTCAAATGAAAGAGGACTAACTTAACATGTTTTTCCATCCCATTTGTTCTCCAATGGACCGAATTGAAACCACAAAATATCAGTAAAATGTTGACACAGCCTGCAAGACATGAATTGTTGAGCTACCAAATGAGTTAGGGGAATCATGAAAAGTTGTTTGAAAAAAGTCAATGTCTAAATGTAAAAATGTACTTGATATTTAATATTTTTTGTTAGTGTTTTCTATTAAGCAGGTTTTTATACTTCAAACTTTAGGTGTGTGTGGTTATTTTGAAATTAAAGAAATTCTGCAATTATTCTAGTAGCACAGCCTACGTTACCATAACACAGCATGGAATTAGAACAAATTGAAATGCAATTACAATGCCCTCAACAGAAAACATCTTTGAGACTAAATGAGGATTCTGTGAAACAGATGCAGATTTTAAACAGACTTTTGTTAAAAATTATTTGTATTTTGCACTTCCAACCTAGTCTAGTTCAGTGTAGGAATGTCAGTTCTGACAAACACTCATTTTTCAATTTATTAAAGCTGTCAAAAATAGAAATCTTTCATATGAGTTGAATTTTTTTTCTCCTCCAAATTCAAATGAAACTTCTCAGTTGGGTGCATGCAGACAGCAAATGCTTCTCCTGCAGAACCCAACTGTCAGAACACATGAAAATCTGTGTGAAGCCTGCCAGTCTCTCAGCAGACGTGTATGGGGGATAAATTTTGCAAACACTTGTTATACAGAGTAGAGCTCACTGTTTGACAGAGATTGTAAGAGTGTCATCATTTCTGACAAATGAGTGGTTTTTTTAATAAGTTGATATAATGTTGATGTAACATAATGGTGACTCATGGACTTGGTTGGGAAAATAGCATGGATGAAGGGAACAAGCCAGTGACAGGCTGATCTGGATTGCTCAGGCACAAACTAGAATAAGCATTTTACCCCCGCCAAATGCGAAGTTGTTCATCTAAGAACCAAGTACAAGTGTAAAGGCAGTTCACTGAGGAGCCACAGGTATGGCTGGGATCAAGGGAGAATAAGACTCTTCTCTCTCATATCAGGTATCTACAGGGGAAGGAAAAATTTGACCAGAAGTTTTTAAATCCGAATACAGAGGCAGAAGCACATCTAATACCTGGAAGCTGATGTTGTACAAATTCTGTCCAGAAGTATGGTTAATCTTTTTTTTTCCTTCTTTTACTTTTTTTTGTTTTTAAATAGTAAGATAGATAACTGTAAGATAAAAGAGAAACAAGTTCCTGAAGGTTGGAATGAATATTTCTTACCTGGAAAATTTTTGACAGAGATCAAATTGTTTTCAGAAATCATAGAATCACACAATGATTTGGGAGGAAAGAGGCCTTCAAGATGATCTATTTCCAACAGATCTGCTATGGGAAGAGGCATGTTCAACTAGACCAGGTTGCTCAAATCCCCATCCAACCTGGCCTTGAATACAGACAGGAACTGAGCACTCTGGGTTTTTCTATCCTGAGGAGAGCAGTCCAGGGAAATCTCACAGACTGTGCTGCACAGACAGTCACATGAAATGAGTGTGATGGCATTATCCACACTGACAACTGACAAATCTTGAATGCACAAGAATCTTTTTGCTGATCACATTTCTGAAAGAAACTAGCCTCTGGCCTGTTGGCAACCTACCTCCTTTGTCAGACTAAACCAGCTATTTTTGCAGTTGTCCCCCAGCCCTTGGCATCAGCAGCTGCTGTGGCATCCAAATGAAGTGGTGCCCACTATTGCCTTGTGGCTGTTCAAGGCTCATGTCCAGCAGAAGTTCAGCCCAGTCATGAGAGGCTTAACCCAGAGGAAGACCAAACCTGGCTCCAAGACTTGAGCAATATCACTGAACTGGCAGTTGCTAGAGGGTGTAAGAAGGCACAGAAACAAGAACAGCTGTGTTGTGTGAGGTCCACATTAATTCTTTTTCCATGTGCCTGCTGCTGAATTCTGGCAAAGGGACTTGTAAGTTGCATTTCAGGTCAGTAGGTTATAGCTTTGTGAACGTCAGTATGACAGGAAACCTCACTTTGCCAGAAAGCAGCATTTCGTCTGTGAAACATGCCCTGTGTTATGTTACACTCGGTATTCATCATGCAATGGTATTTCAGTGGGGTGCCTGGGCTACTGGGGAGCTGATAATCTCCTATCACAGCTGCTGGTAGCTCTTTTTTTTTTTAAGATTAATGAAAATTACATCTCCTGCAGATTCTCACTATGCAGAGATTTAACGACGACTGCAGAATTCTGCAGAAACCTGCATTTCATGAATGTGCACTGGAATGTCTGAGTAAAATATCAGTTATCTGACTTCTGCCTATCTGTTCTTACTGCCTTCAAGTTTCACTGCTGGCCTCTGAAGGGTGACAAAAAGAGGTTCTTCCTCTCCAAGTGTAGCCTTGCTGCTGGGTCTGCTCATACCAAGCCACATTTCCAGTGTGTTGCTTTTCCCTCTGTGACACTTTTAAAAATTTAAAACTTGAAATATGCATTTTAAATCATAACAGTGTTATAATGCCTCTTTTTAGGGACATTTTTTCAAACTGAAGTTTAGCAACTTGGAGAAACCGATGAAGAGTTCTTGCTAATCCCTTCTGACTTGCATGGTTGTGAGAATGAAGTGACTCAGAAACGAGAACAGAACTGGAAGGAACTTGCACCATTTCTGATGCAAGGGCTGCAGTGTGCCAATCTGCAGCGACTTTGATAAAAAGCTCCTTCACAACAGCCCATTGTAATTCTCTTAATGTACTGGAATTAGTTGTCCACATAACTCCAAAATGCAAGATCAAACACAAAAGGTCAGTAATATCAGTAATCAGCGCATCAGTTTGAGATATGGCACTTATACTGATTATAATAAGACATCTGGAGTCTTAGATACATTGGGATAGCTAGAGAATAACTTTTCAATGTATGAAGAGACCTTGATTACTGTAAGTGCTTTCTAAGAAATATTGCTAAGAAACAACACAAAACACCTGAGGTGCATAACAGTTATTCATTGCCCACTATGAACAAAAACAGTTTATAAAACTGTTATAGGCAAAACTCTTTTCCATAAAATGAGTGGACTGCTAAAAAACTTTTTCCCCTCCTAACTTTTGGCAGTTCGTGCTACCTAAAAAATGAAAGTAAAGCTGAAAACATCACTCATACAAAGAGATTAAGGAACTACTTTCTGAAGTGTAAAGCATTTGAATATTAAATGAAAAATCACAAAAAACTCGGGAGAAAACTCCTTCTTGCATTGTGGAATTCAGTGGTAAAATGGATGACTTACCAGAGTCAGTTTTAAGTCACAGTTCAGGCAGCAGTAGCAGTACAGCTGTGATAGTATGGAGCCCAACACTGTTCAGTTTTCCCTGCTTCTTTTCTGTAACTGTAATGAGAATATCCCCTGGACATTTTTACAGATGCAGATGTGTTTCAGGATAACACCCTACCTGAACTCTTCCTCTCCTATATGATCTTGTAGTATTTAAAGTCCTAACAGGGGCTGCATTTAGATTTATAATAATTATTTCTAATCTCTTTTTAGACAGTAATATATTAAAAATGTATAGCACACTTTTTAAACTTGCTATTAACTTGCATCTAGCTTCTGCTTTGGTCAGACAGGATGATTTACACTCACCCAGGATGTCCTTTCCTAATGTTTTTTAGCAGCCCATTTCGTAACACCCAGTTACTACATGTAAGGTTTGAAATGGCTCTGAGAATCAGGACAGTACTGCCCACGTTTCTTGGCCTGGCAGGATCTAAGCAGGATTTCCACGGAGTCTGGGTATCCATGGTGTTTAATCCCTTGCTCAGAGAAACTGTCCATGGAGAAGAAGTTGACTGTAATGTGTTCAAAACTCAGCTCTCAGTAACAAACAGAATTTGCATCTTAGATAGAACAACATATGGTTGTTATCTGGCCCTGGGAAGGACAGATTTGAGTTGCAAGTAAACAAATTGATGAATGAGTAGCAGAATTAAAACAATATCTCTGACCTTTACTGTAAAAACATGCAGATGCTCAGAAGAGAGGAGAAAAAATAACACAGCATAAAACCAGCACAATGATGGATCTCTAAGGATCTCTAAGGATCATTTCTCCCCATATATTTTTGATTCATGCTTGTTTCAGGAGTATGGTTGGAAATGTCTTAAGGACTAGAGCAGTTCTCTGCCCAATGTTCTCATCCATTTTCCCTTAGGCTGGAGGAAATTTGGATAAAAGTACGTGTTACAGCTACTGATGTCCTCTGTGAGACTTCAGGATTATTCCTTGAGCAAGAGACAGGTGAGAAGTCCTTCTTGCTTTTTAGGTAGGCCATGTCATTCCTACCTTATCTTAGTCTTTCTGTATTCTTCCATTTCCAGAATATGTTCCAGGAAGATTTCAGGAACATGACTGAAGGGACCAGGAACAGCAGTGACTCCTCTTCCGCCTTCGTTCACACCAGCACCGTGAGTGCCATACTGGTCACTGTCTACTCAGTTGCCTTGGCTGGAGGTGGAATTGGGTCCATCACAATGTCCTTTGTGCTGCTCAAGATGAACACTCTGTCTGTGACCACGACTGCCATCATTAACCTGGTCGTTGTGCACAGCCTCCTCCTCTTCACGGTGCCCTTCCGCCTCCACTATTATGTCAAAAAGAAGTGGGTATTTGATATGCCGTTTTGCAAAATGGTGAGTGCCATGGTGCACATCCACATGTACCTGACCTTCGTATTTTATGTGATCACCCTGGTGATCCGGTGGCTCATCTTCTTTCAGTGGAAGGACAAGGTGGAGTTTTACAGGAAGCTGCACGCCATTGGGGCGAGCGCTGCCGTGTGGCTCTTTGTCATGGTCTTTGGGGTGCCACTCTTCTACTTCGAGTATGGACGCTCAGGCTTATACAATAACACAACCTGCTTCAAGTTCCACAAAGAACTACAGCACGAGAGTGTGAAAGCCCTGAACTACACCGTAATTGTAGCTGTTGCCCTCATTTCTTGTGTACTCTTGAGCTTGCAGATTTTTATCCTGGTAAAAGTGGCGAGAAAATTTTCCACCTCCCTCTGTTCACACCAAGAATTCTGGGCCCAGGTGAAAAACTTGATTTTTATCTGGATCATCATAATTTGGTTCCTTCCCTATCACCTGTTCAGAGCCTACTACATACAGCATGTGAGTGATTTTGACCAGTTAGAAAGCTACAATGAGGTTTTTTTGAGCCTGACTGCCCTGAGCTGTCTGGACCTGCTGTCATTCGTGCTGAGTGGAAGCCGCTTCTTCAAGCAAAATGTGGGGATGCTCCACAGGAGGTTGCCTTGCTGCTAGCATCAGCATCCTGCAGCATGTGCAGGACCTGGGATAGGACAGTGATGGACAGACACGGCAAACTCACTCCTCAGCAAGTGAGGGTGTGCTCTGGAAATGGTGCAACACACTTGTACAGGGCTTTGCACATCAGCTTCCTGAAGTAATGGAACAAACTGCCTCCAAGGTCCCAGCTAGTAAACAGGAAGGTGACCTCAGCAATTTCCTCATGGTGCTACCCAGTGAGTTGTGGATGGACCTGGAGAAGAGGGAAGAAAGGTTATGGGCTCTTCTCTCTTACTGTTTTTACATCAAGATTCGTGAAGTCAAAGGCTCTAGGAGGAGACCTGAGAATTGCAATGTAGAAACACAAATAAGGAAGCTGGTTTATATGGACTAAGGTACAGATTTGTGAAACTTAAAGATCTATATCATTTTCCCATACATTTCATATTTATTTCCCACAAGCTCTTATAAAATATCAGGGAAGCTATTGTTCTTCCTGAGTAGGTCTGTTTCTTTACTGTTAAGCGTCACTTTCTAAGTGAATTGAACTACTAAACCAGCTATTTAAAACTAAATTAGTGATAGATAGTTATTTCTTAAAATATTTTCTCAAAATCACTTTTTAAGATGGTACCACTGCAGCACAAAAGAATATTATCTTTTTCATATTATGAAAATATGTCTTAAAAAATTATACACTATTACTGAAATGGACATTGCAAGTTCAAACAAAAACCTGTGTTATTATTCACAAAATTTTTAAATTAAAAGTAATATTTTATAGTCAGGACAAGTTTTTTTAGATCATTCAGACAGAATTTTTCTTCTCTTCAAAAGACAAATATCTTAGGTATCCAAGGTAGCAATGTTTTTTTTGTAAATCTTATGTTGATTTTGTGCATTTATGAAGTTTATAAGTAGTTACTCACAGTGTCTTTAGCTTGAAAGCAATTCTATAAATTTTGTACCCTGCACTGATGAAAGAAATGAAAATGTTGCTGCTTGGATTGGAGGAATGGAAAAAGCTAATAGACCTAGTGTAGCTAAAAAGCATATTCTGTCTCAGTGAGGCATTGCCAGTTGCTGTCTTTGAAGACAGAAATAAATTCCACTAAAAAAGATGAAAAATTTGGTAAAATATTTCTGTGAAAGACATTGAAGCTTTCATAGCTCAGCCGACTTATACCTATCCCTAAAAAAGAATATAAATCTTGACTCCTCTAATGCAAGCCATCAATGACTAATATATCTTTATTTTTCTTGCCATCTGCATAAGGTCACATTTTTTCATCCAGAGTTAGTGGGATAATAATTTAATCATTTAACTAATTAGAGGTTATCAGCTGATCAATTTTCATGAGAGTCTTTACTCATGATGCTGTTGAAATCCACCTTTTCACCCCGTGAATCTTTCCATTCCTTTCTGCTTCACCTTCAACATCTCTTGCACATCAGACAGCAATAAAATAACAATTGGTTGATCTTGCTGTGCCTGTGCTGCTGTGCTCATTGCTTTTAGTCCCACCAAGATGTTTTTTTTTAATGAGATCCCATCTCTTCTGTGGTCTTTCTACCTTGTCTTTCTTCCTTCTTTCTTCAAGGTCCTCTATATCTATCATGATCTTTGATCATAAAAAGGTATTTTCAGGTCAGAGTATGAGTCATGCTGTACAACACCAAAAGGTGGAAATCACTGAAGTTCACAACACAAGTGAGGTGTTGGGCAGCTCTCATGGCTCACCCTTGGCAAACAGCCTGGACACATCTGTTAAGAAAGAAACGTGAGAGCTTGCAGTGTGTGTACCTGAGAAAAATCTGTCCAAGAAGGCGTTTGTTCCCAAAGGATCACAGTAAAAAGGATGACAACTACCAGCCAGATTCAACAGTAGCTGGGGAGCAACTTTCAAAACATGGAGGGAATCAACTTGGATGTGTAGCTCACTACTAGTTAACTGTGTGTCATTTAGAAAGCAATAAACTGCTATTATCCAGATTTGTTTTAAAGCTACACAAACAAATTATATTCTCCTTGTGGTGGGAGAGGATAGAAATTGGCATAACATTTTTGTTTGCTCCTGTAGCAACGTGGTTGGTTAAAGAAAATGCCTTGCGTGCATTCTGTGGGCATTGCATAGCTTTGTAACATCATATTATAACCCTTCTACTATAATAAAGTTATTAACAAACAAAATGACTATGTGCTGAAAAAGTAAAGTCCCTCCTAGAAAAATGCACATAAATTAGAAGTATTTTATATCTGCATTTGGAATGAAACATAAAACATTATTTTAAAAACAGTACCTCCCAACTATACAGACCAACAAATCTTGTTAGTCCGTGTTAAAATCACAAGTAATTTAATTCCTGTAAAAATGCAAACTTTCATAGTAGCCTGCACCATAGCATCACAAAAAATAGTAATGACTTTTTTCCCCCAATAAAATTTGTTGCTAATGATGTTAATACTAAATCAGCATGATAACAAGCTAATTAGGAGGTCCAATAATCACATGATTTAAGATGGTGATGTTATCCAGCACCAAGTCTTGCCTTTTATGGGTCTGTCTATGCAAACTTTATGTCTACGCAAACTTTATGTCTACCACTTGTCTTGCTTTGTGAGAGCCAGTGTCTGGCAGAGAAAGCCTTCCCCTGCCCTGAGAGAATGAACTCCCTTAACTGTGCCAGGAGTTGACCACTATAGGAGAAGGGGAATTTCCAGTTACCTTCATCTGCTTGGTCAGAGGCACCACAATCATGAAGGTGATCCTTTTTATTTTGCTGACTAAATGACAGAGGATAGTACTAGGATAGGAAACAATCATGAACACAAACACACTATTACAGAAGGACATAGAGGGAATAGAATCTGAAGAACAGGACTGGGAATGAGGAGAAGAGAGCAGAATATCAGCATACTTCTGCCACACAGCAACAAGATAAGGTGGCTGTGTCTCTGGCCTTCATCTCAGGTTATTTATTTAATCCTTAAAGCTGATAAAAAGTGGCAATCTCACTGATGGGAACAAGCTTGCCCTCAGCCACTCCTTGTTCCCACTCCTGCATTGCTCTTTCCATATGGCTGGAATTTACCTCCTGAATGTCTTTCAGCTGCATCAGTTTCCTCTCTAGCTCACCAGGGAATCATGGAAAATCAAGTCAAGGCAAGGACAAATACAGCAAAGACTTCATTTTGCAACAATCCTGACTTGAGGATTTTATCAGACTGTAATCCTGTTTTGTCTAATTCCCCTTAGCTTACAGATCTTTTCTTTCCAGGCAGTTTCCCACAGTCTATGTCACCTGACATTTCCATTTCCATGTATTGCCAATAACCAGGGTACCTTAGACTAAAAGTACTGTTGAGGAAGAAGGTACCTCCATAGCTGCAGGCCAAGAAAGGGGGTTTGGGGGCTTCAGGCACTTTATGCTTTATCCAGGGATAGAGAGAGCATGAAAAACCCTGAAGGCAGCAGAGGCAGCAGTTTCTGAAAAAAAGCCTCAACAGAATTGCAGAATTGGACATTTCTGACCCATAAAGTCACTCATTTCTGCTGTTTTCAGAGAAATAGGACTTGGCATGCATTTTCCCTGTAAGTAAACCCTATGGCTAGGACTTGACTGGAAACAAGGGCCGGTTTCAAAAGTCAAGGGGTCATTAATAAAACAGCTTGACTTCCCAGACAAAAATTTCAGAAAATCTAACTAAACTTTCTGACACTCAGTGAAGTAATTTTCCTCACTTGTGAACAGCTGCTTAATAAACCAAATTTTTTGCTGAATAGAGAAATACCCATAAAGATAATATACAGTGTCCATTCCCTAGAGGCTAACTATAAGTAATATATAATCCTCTTTTCTCTGATGAGGCAGCAGACATGCCAGCTGGCTGCTTTCACCCTCAACCAGTGACTTCCCTCTTTCCTAGCAATGCTTCCAGTTTGGGAGTGCCAGGCTGGTTTTGCTCATCAGCTCTTCCAGCTGTGCCCTCAAGGAATTCTGTGTCACTCACCTGTGGCTGGAGCTCAGAATCACAAAATCAAAGACTGGGTAAGGTAGGAAAGGCCCACAGTGGGTCATCTGATTCATCCTCCCTGTTCAAGCAGTATCCTAGAGGACATAACACAGGATTGTATCCAGATGGATCTGGATATTTCCAGTAAGACAGACTCCACAACCTCTCTGGGTAATCTGTTCCAGTGCATGGTCACAGCAAGTGAAGAAGTTCCTCTTCATATTCAGGTGGAATTTCCTGTGCATCTATTTCTGCCCATTGCCTCGTGTCCTCGTCCGTGGCACCACTGAGAAGAGCCTGGCTCCATTCTGTTGGCACCTTCCCTTCAGATAAGAAATTGATGAGGCTCCTTTCAAACATCACTTCTCAGGCTGAACAAACCCAGCTCTCTCAGCCTGGCTTCACAAGGGAGAGACTCCAGCAGAACTGCAGAGGTGCTCATCTTCGTAGCCCTTCACCCTACCTGCTCCGGAACTCCGTGTCTCCCTTGTACCAAAGAACCCAGAACTGGACATGGCACTCCAGGTGTGGCCTTACCAGGGCTGAGTAGAGGGGCAGGGTCACCTGACCTGCTGGCAAAGCTCTTCCTAATGCACCCCAGGATACCACTGTCCGTCTTAGCCACAAAGGCACTGCAGCCTCATGGACATCCAGGTCCTCCAGGACCTTTTATGCAGAGCTGCTTTCCATCAGGTTGACCCCCAGCCTGTGCTGGTGCAGGGGGTTATTTTTCCCCAGGTGCAGGACCCTGCATTTTCCTTGGTTGAACTTCGGACCAGTAGGCTCACATGACTCAGGTCTTTCTAATGGAAATGGTGCCAGTGCCATAGCTGGGAAGCGTAATGCCCAGCCAGCTGGGGTCTCAGTTACCAAATCTAGAGGCAACCCCACCCATAGCAGGGTCATAGTCAGGAAGGGACACATGCCAATACCAACAACAGAGGCAAGAAAGACATTGGCAGAGAAATTTGATAGCATCCTCAAAGGCTTCGTCTGAACCTGTAGGAAGACCCTGATTTGTGCTCAAGAGGGAACACACACCAAGGGAAGGACTCATGGAAAAGAGCTCATAGGCCGTGCTCTGCTTTAGAGTTCTGCAGCTCGGAGAAGCACAAGAGCCAGCCCTTGGTTGAGGGGGAGGCATACCCTAATGGAGTGGTGGCACCACGATCTCTAACGACAGCATGTACGAATTGCACATTGGACTTTGTCTTCCCAGTACTTTTCCTCAGTGGAGCAAGAGCTCACAGAAACTTCACTAATAAAATAACTACAAAAATGTAAGAGAAAATAAGAAAGGGCAGGCTCTGTCTCTGTTAATAGGAAAACATGATGGACAACCTTCAATCATACCCTTGGAGAGGAGAGTCTCATGTGTCTGGAGGCTGCACAGAGAGAAATACAAATGGATGCAAATTCCACATATATGGAGACAGACCACAGTCCCTGTCCTCTGCTACAGAATGAGCAGCTGAAGGAGAAACTTCTCAAGACATGAAATGTGTCTGTACACTAGAAATAGCATCACAAAGTTTCACATAGGGAAAAGCAGTATATAAGTTAAATTCAGCTTGCAATAATAAAACTGTCTTTATAGTGAACTGGCCATCAGAAGTTTAAACCTGAACAGTTTAAACCTAAACCTGAACCTATATATAATATCATGAATCTGTGAAAGTGGCTATTAAAAAAAAAACTTGCCAATTTGCAGTTCTTTCATGAAATGACAGTTTCAGCTACATAATATGACTGGGTTTAGATATTTCAGAAAATAATTGTCATCTTATTACACCCCTGGACCACATCCTTTGCTTGGTCATCACCTAATGGTTTTCAGCACTTCATAAAACGTCACCTTTTATCACTACTGTTCTGGAGAAGGTCAGATCAAATATCAATCCAAGGAACAAAAAATTTAAAACACCTGTACATTTTACAAAGTTGTCCTCAGAAGAGTCTTTATTTTAGAAAATGTAATATATAGTGTGCTCTGTAATATACCATGGGGTTTTAAATAGTCTGGGAAATAAAATGAAAAGAGCTCTTTCTGTTATCTTTTAAACCAACAAGTTCAAAAAGCTAGAGGTTGGATATTTTGCATAATGCATGCCTACTATTTTCTGTCATTTTGCAAAATAACTGGAAGTCATTCTGAGAAATTATTGAAAATTTTATTCATTTTGCAAAAGGTGTAGCTTCATAATATGGCTGTAATGTATGTCAGAAATTGGTACATAAATAAATAATAAATAATAAATAAATAAATAAATAGAGGGAGTTGAATGAGACTTCTCTCTAATTGCTGAATAACCATTCCTGAAGTTGCCCCAGGATTTTCAACTTAAATTTAGAGAACAACTGTACAAAAAAGAATAAGAAATGTTCCATGTACGTAATCACTGAGTATTGTCCAACTATTGCTGGAATAAAGACAAAAAATACAGAATCCCAAGTCAAAGTTGAGCCATGAATACTATCTGCTTAGAAAGTAAGTATGGAGAACACTCTCTGGTTTTTTAAGTCTAAATGTATATGTCAGTGCTTTCCACATTTACATACACAGAATTATTTCTAATAAACTGCTTACTATGTGCCTCATTTCAGATATGAAATTCTAATGTGGACACACTGAGAAGTTGATTGAGGGCAGGCAAACAAAAGAGGAGTCTCATTCATGTGAGCATTGAGGATATGTACAATATAATCATAAAGGCACATATGGCCATGGTGGCCACGACTGTGCTATGAAACATTTGTTCATCTAAATATGTAAACACCACCAGAGATGTTGTTGAGCACTTCAAATCCTTCTGGGTAGTGTTCTAAGAAAAGAGAAGGCACTACCTGGAATGGTTTCCTGACTGGTCTGCTCTGAACAAGGAGAACTTAGCATGGGGTAAATTGACTGTCAATATGCAGTCCATTTGTCTGGGCAGCTTGAAGTGATAATGATGGAAGAGAAGTTCATCACCAAATTTTGTGTTTTCCATTCGCTTATGACAAAAAGACAGCAGCTGAAGTGGTTCTACAGCTTCTTGACATCTCTCCCACTTTTGATGATTCTTTTCTATTGCAGGATCATGATGGAACAAAATTCATTACTCAGGTACTGCAAGAACTAAAGTATTTGTGGTCTCAGCTCAGCTTTGAGCATGGAAAACCAGGATACTGTAGAAGGAAAGAACTAGCAGACCATCCAAACAGCACAGTAAGGAGATGCTTAACGAGTATCAGGCAGATGATAATTCATAGGACCAGTCAGTGGGAATATGCTTTGTGAAGTTTGCTAAGAATTCAGCTCATCACTTGGGGAAAAAATTCAAGCTTACAATTTGAGCTTATATTGCTTTTAATGAATTTACATGGGCAACCTTATGTATCAAGGTTTTTTTCAAAAATTAACCTAAAACCTGAGAAATTTATTTCACTGATTTGCCAGTCTGCATGTGTGCAGGAAAGGAAGGGATGAGGAAAGGAAGCTATTGGGACTTTTTGTGGAAACTGGAACAAGCTCAGCCTACCAACAATGCTTACTGTCCCATGCCAATATAAAATCATGATATTGTTTATGTCACCCTGCCATAATGAAGGAGTTAGAATTTGATATACTTGGGGTTTGTATTGACTTTATTGTAAAAGTCTTTTATAGCAGGAA